TTGGCAATTGTGGTGCGAATTTCATCAAAAATTTTAAAAACAAACGATATGAGACCATAGTGCAAACATCAAAAAAGGAAACAGGCCAAAAAGAACGAAAAAAAAAACAAAAAAACACTATGAAAACCTAACACAAAGACACTGTCCGAGTCAAAATGAAGCGTCCAACGAATTCAAGAAAATGCCAACTTTTCATTATTGATCCAAATATGTCAAAACTGCACACATGACGTACCCTAAAGCACATACATATCACACAAAAAGAAAAACAAGAAAAAAAGCAAAAAATCAGCACAATATGACAGTTTCAGTGCAATTCGGTGCAAAATTCGTTGAAAATAACACCCCTGGTTAACCACGTGTGTCTTGGGTGTGCTCGACCCGGCGCCCATCGCCCCCTCCAATTCCCCCTCTCCACCTTGTGCTGCTCTCTCTCTCACACCGTAGAGTAGCGAACACCGTTGAGCGTGGCGTTGCCGCGCAGAGCAGAGTAGCATAGTTCAAGTCGAGCATCACAGCATAGAGTAGAGGCGTAGAGTAGAGTAGCAAAGTCGAAGTCGACCATCGCAGCATACAGTGGAGCAACAGCGTCGAGCAAAGTGAGTCGCACACACACACAAACACACACAAACAAAAAGCACGAAATAACTCACCTTCAGTCATGCTGGCATGCTCTAATGCACAGCCCAAGCATCAGCGTCCAACCTTCTCCATCCAGAGCCCGTCCCGATGCACAGCCCAATCTCCAGCATGGCAAAAAGCTTAGGAGAAACAATCTCTTTCTGTGCATGTGTGTGTGTGTCACAGAGAGAGAGAGAGAGAGAGAGAGAGAGAGAGAGAGAGAGAGAGAGAGAGAGAGAGAGAGAGAGAGGACTGTGCCAGACTGTTTTGTCAGACTTTCACCGACTCATCAGGAGGCTGAGCCCCGACAGTCTGCCCAGGATGCAGTAAGGACTCACCACATCGCCCAGGGTGTGTGTGGTGTGTGTGTGTGTGTGTGTGTGTGTGTGTGTGTGTGTGTGTGTGTGTCTGTGTGTGTGTGCACGTGTGTCGAACGCGTAGAGTAGAGCTTAGAGTAGCGTAGAGTAGGGCAGTCCACAACATCGTCGAGTACGTTAGCCTGTCTACGCGGAGCTCAGAGTAGCGTAGAGTAGTCCACAACGTCGTAGAGTACCTTAGACCGTCTAAAGTCCAGTCGCCGTAGCTCAGAAAGTATAATCGACGTCTACTGACAGCGTCCAGTCTACCTACCGGGGCAGTGCGCAAAAAGTTTGTCGATATACGTTGTAAGTGCACACTGCCCCAGAATCGTGCGCAGTACCGGCGCTGGCCCTGTAACGTGCGATGGTACCCACACTGCCGCGGTACCCTGCGCGGTTCCGGAGCTGGGCAGTAACATGCGACAGTACCCGCGCAGGCGCGTGGACCCGGTACCGCGCACGGTACAGGTGCTGGCATGCAGGCCCGGCACCACGTGCGACGGTTCAACTTCTAAGAGAAAACGATCAGCAGACGATCGAGACCGTCGCAGAGTGTAAAATCGGAGGGCCTCGATCGTCTGCTTGTCACATGCCAAAAATTAGCGATAGTTATATATGTAGGGAAAAATCTGGCTATGCAGGTTGAGGAATGAGAACCCCGAGCTAGGCTGTAGAGGTAGGTGGAAGGGCCAAGTAGAGCAGCGACAGAAGGAGCTCACCGACAAAGAGACTATGGTGGAGTTCCATCTCCAATACCTTGGCACTTCACATCGAAGATTCCAGGATTCCCCTTGGACCAGGTGCGGGTTATTTACCAGATTGTACTTTTCTATTTAGCCTCGCTTGATGTAAGATTAAGCGCATCTGATGGTCCCATGATGTGAGCAGTCCACCTCCAAGATGACAAGCTTATTCCCTTGCCGGTTCACTCTTTTTGTTGTCACCCTCATGCTACCTTTCTCTTTCAACCCAGTTCTCATGTGCCTTACTGAGTGAGTTGCGATCCTGGTGAACCGTGGTGCTAACGTCCTGGCCTAAACCCATAAGAGCTAGGTTCAAAACAGACCTCCCATTCGGGTTAGAACCATTTTAGCTACCAGCCTACCGCCTGTTGCCTTGATCCACAAGGAAGCAGTTGCTTCCCGGTTTATGGGATTCAGGTCCTAGGTTGAGCCGTGCCATTGAACATCTGGATCGCTTATCTCAGGAGGGAACAACTTGGGAGTCAGAGCAGACTGGTCAAAACAGACAGACTAGGGAAAGCACTATTGCAAGTAAGAAAACAATAGCCACATACTGCATTCTGAACAGGGTGGGGCAAAGAGCAGCTGCCCTACCTAGGAGGCAAACACCGCACGCACTCACTCCTCCCTTTGGAATTCCTTGGTGAGAGTCAAACCTAGGCAGGACAAAGACTACTTCTCTCACTTCCCCCCTGAAGAGTTCCTTGGGTAACGCAAAAGGTGCAGTATTGTGTGGTTCACAGTCATGGCACACATGTTAGCCCAGCACATACTAAATTTCCAGAACCACTGTGAACACAGTCTTGCCCTGTGAGCATGCCATTTTCCACACTTGCCATCAAAGACAACAATTGAGGAACGAACAAACAATGACTATGCAATCTCAGTACCGAGCGATGTACCTCACCATATCCTGATGAGTTGGCAGAGATGTTGGCTTCCTGAAAAACGCCGCTGCCTGCTTGAAGAACACAGGACTATACACAATCTCCAAAGGCTGCATTGTGATCTGCAGATCAGTACAGAGCAACACATTGCATTCAACACACAATTTGCACACCCAGGTAAGGAATTCCACAGGAAGATGAACAAAGTTCAACAAAGTCATTTCACCAGATGCATGTGGTCACTATAGCTGTATCTGTCGCAATTTCCAGGCCAGATACGGTGGTAATGATCTTGCATTGTATTTGGTGGAATGACATAGTCTGAAGGAAAAATGTGTGAAAGGCTGCAAGGTACTGGGCCGTCGTACAACAATCTCGGGCCTAGTCCACGTCTTAGTTCTGTCTTCATTGTGTGTATTGGCAGTGCACATGGTCATCAGTTCCCAGGCACACATGTCCACCGTACAACTCGAAGTATTAAGGAGTGTATGGCCAACTAGCAAAGGTATATGTCATCTGTAGAAAAGCATGTGGCTAGTTCGTAATATTCTAATACTAGCTAGCACCAGCACTGCAGGAAATGACTACACAGCCAAAAAATGATGAAGCTGCCCAATTTTTGATGGAAAACTTAACTCTGAGTGAATGTCATTCATCACAAATCAAGGAGAAGCAGAATAAGACCAAGAACGAGGAGAATGAAGAGAAGAAGAAGAAGAACACAATATTAGAACAACGTCGCTTCCCCTGTTCTATATAATTGTTATGATTTTAAACAACATAGATAAGAAGGAACCAAGGCCCAGAATGTGAACAACGGCCCTAAGGCCGCCCACGATGAGGTCACACGACCTTAGGGCCCAAAGACCAAGGCCGGGCCATCCAGAATCTGTGTTACATGCTGAGCCTGCACACGGGCCCCGTTTCGGGGACCCGACGGTTGCCGGGAGCCCCCAGGTCGCACGACATTCAGACATGCGCCCTGGAGGCCCACGGCCGACCTTAGGGCCGCAGGATTTGGTTTGAGGCAGCATTCATTTATTTATTTGCTGTCCTATTTTTGTCTGCTCAGGCGTCGTTTCGGACTTGCAGTTCGTCCGAACCGACTTTCGGTCTGTTTGGACAAAGGCCACGTTTTGGACCTTCTTCGTTTGCAGCCAGTCCCTTTCAGGCCAGGTTCGTGTTCGCCCAGTAGCGGACACTCCCTGCGGCATCAGCAGGGAGGGCCTGGACGTCCCGTAAGGACCCAGGCATGCCGTTTCAGGCCAGGACCAGTGGCACACCAGCGAGGCCCAGCGCTACTTTTAGCTGGGCCAGGCCAGGGCAGACACACAGTTCGAGTAGCTCACTTCTTGGGCGACCCGCTGCTGGAGCAGCACGACACGGCGCTGCGTTAGAGGTAGAGGAGTAGAGAGAGAAAGAGAGAGAGACAGTGGCCATACCTGCAGCGGCGGTGCTTACCTGGGCGTCATAGCTGGAGTCCATGCAAGCAACCTGCATCAGCGCCGGCAACTCTATTGGCAGAAGTTACCCGCAGGTGAGACAATGAGGACGGCAGCATCTTCTTCTTCCTGCTGCTCTCGCCCTCCGTCTCCATCGTTTCACTTCTTCTTTCAGAGAGAGAGAGAGAGAGAGAGAGAGAGAGAGAGAGAGAGAGAGAGAGAGAGAGAGAGAGAGAGAGAGAGAGAGAGAGAGTTCACAGGGAGAGGTTACATCGGGTCATGAGGCCCAGGATCTGTTCGACATTTTTGTGGCAGACATTGATTGGGCATTCAGCAGGGAGACTATTTTTGGACTTCGCTATCGCGATCTTGGTCTTCTCCCTCATCTCCATCTTCGTCTTGCCTCTCCCCCCATCTCCTCATCTGTGGCATCTTCCAATGTGCGTGCTCAAAGAGGGACCTTTCTTTTATGTATGCGGTCCCTCCCCTCTCTCTCACGTGTGGTGTATGATAGGGTGTTGTGTCAGTATCTGACAGGTCAGGTTATATCTTTGAGTCTTCCGCTGCGCTACATTGTCCTATTTTCGTATGTATCTGGATGCACATTGCTTGTTGATGCTTTGCTGACGCTGCATCGTCCATTTGAGTCCTTTCCATCACTTTGCGGATCCTTGGCTCCATATACATCACTCGATTGAGCACGTATCAGTCTGTGCAGGAGATCCATGCATGCCACAGTGGAGGCAGAGCTGCTGCAATGAACTGCTCATCCCACTCATTCCAATCATTGGGCCAATAAAATTTCCCTAATATTCAGACGACCATCTCTAAGTCCTCTTGGACTGCAGGCATCCACATGACAGCGAGATAGTGCATTCATTCTCACCATCGTACAAATTTTGCTCTCATCCACATTGCAGCCAGATCAGCCCAGCAAGACTGAAATCAGGCCAAGTTGGACTGTCCAACTGATTGCATCAACGGCGAGGATTTCATAATCCACCTATCCATTGTCCCCCCCCAGCAAGACTGAAATCAGGCCAAGTTGGACTGTCCAACTGATTATATCAACGGCGAGGATTTTATAATCCACTTATCCATTGCGCCACACCCCACCCCCCTCTCTCTCTCCCAGCCAGACTGAAATCAGGCCAAGTTGGCCTCTCCAACTGATTACATCTTCGGCGAGGATTTCCTAATCCACCTATCCATTGTTCCCCCCCAGCAAGACTGAAATCAGGCCAAGTTGGATTGTCCAACTGATTACATCAACGCCGAGGATTTCATAATCCACTTACCYTCCCYCCCCCCCCCCCCTCCCCCCCAGCAAGACTGAAATAAGGCCAAGTTGGCCTGTCCAACTGATGACATTTTCGGCGAGGATTTCATAATCCACCTATCCATTATCCCCACCCCCCCATCCTCCATGTCCACCTTGAACATCTCCTTTTCCCCTGAGGAGCAGTTTCAAGCTGCGAAAACCACCTTCGGAGTGCAATCAGGAAACTGCCCTGTCACCATCCTGCTCCCTGGGTACGAAGTATCTAACCCGTATCACGCAGGGGTACTCTCGTAAAATGCCTCTCGTACAATGCCGGCCATCGGACAGTCGAAAACTCCTTTGAGAGCGCAGACCACACAGACCGACATCTTGCCTCCAGAGAGAGAGGGAGCCCATACATTTCCACCTATACTTGCTCCTCTGGAAGTTTTGTTGTGAGCAAAAAGCATGTAAAACTAATTTGCCTGTGAGCAGGTAGTATGAAATATGTGAGCAATAACACATTTGCCAGCAGACTGTGCTGAACAGTGAGCGAGGCAATTCAGGGCTGATACTTTGTGATTGATAGACGGGTGCATATGGTATGTGCTAAGGGGCTGGAAAGACAGGACTCACTGTGATGGCCATGTCCACGTCGGAGTCCCCTGGTGATAACTCACACTCCAAGCGCAGAAGTGGCGCAGTATCATCGAACACTTCACTGAATCCAAGATCAGTGTGCGGCTGATCAGCAGGAACTGACCTGATTGTCTCGAAGGATTCAGAGCTCATGCTCCTGAGAAGGCTTTTCCTACGTATAGTTGTCACCCTCTTTACAAGCTTGTGTGAGGATGCAGGAGCAGAAAGCACCTGTGAAAACACAAGCCGGGCAGAACAACAGCAGATAAACACAAGACGATTACGCAGATCGCAAAGGAAAGTCCGCACATGGCTACAAGTGAAGGTAAGGCCCAAGCAAGAGATAAGCGCACCCTCAAAAAAGTCACAGAGCCACATTGCTGGGTGATTTGGGAGGAATGCGCAATTGACGACACATCAACACACAAAAGAATTGTCCCACAAAGCATAGTGTATATCATAGCACACAGGAATTGTGCATCCTGTAGCATTTTAGAGGGATCATGCAGCGGCATTGCAGCCTCTAGAGCTAAGCCCATACAAGGGAAATACATCACTTCCCAGCCTCGGTGTCACCTGCAGTCATCAGGGTGTAGTAACATGTTTTCAGGTACACCAGGTACAGCAGTCATATGTGAATACAAAGTCCATTCATATCTCCAATGTGGCAACATCACTGCACCGCTACAAGTTTGGACACACCTCCTACAGGGAGACTGAGAAGAGATGGCCTAATTACCAGCTTGGTACTTGGGATTTCGTGCCGTAAAGGGTTGTGAACATATGTTTTATAAGACTAATATAAGTAGCATTGTTGCAAGCAAATTTATGCTGATGCACGCAATGTGAATCTCACTGACATCATGTGACATGCTAATACTGACTCTCCCAGTAATTGTCCAATAACTTCAAATGAGCCACCTCTCGATGCACTGGTGGCAATCCCATGGATAGACACTTGTTGTAAGCAGCAGACAAACTGACATGATGGATAGACAGTTGTTCTAAACAAGATAGGAAGGACATAAGCAATGAATACAGGCAGCAGACAAACTGACACGATGGATAGCTTAGAGACGGCAAATGGATTGGAGCTGGACAGCACACAGGTGGACCGACACAAGGACAAACTGACCAACAAATGGACGTACAGTTAGCCCGGTGGATCCAAGATGAAGGGATGAATGGATAGATGCATGGAAGAAGAGGGAGACGAAGAGGAAGGGCGCAGTGAGTCCTTCGGGGCCGCTAAAATTGGAATGATACAGAGAAGATTACCATACCACTGCGCACAGATGATTAAAGAAAAATAGAAGTGAGGGCAAAACGAAATCGAATGAATCACTGACCTTGGGGCCAACGATACGAGGGAATAAAGTTCCAGGAGTGCACAGGTCAGTTGCTTCTAACGTCCCAAGTGTCACAGTAACACTTGTTGAGCCAAGCCACATGCGTATACTTGCCGCAACACTGTGAATAGATGCCTTCATGATGTCTTGTTTTAAATGCCTGTAGAAGGAACAAAGATATCATTCTTAGTTCCTTAGAGTGGAAGGAGGGAAGTATATGCAGGAGAGGAGTGCTGACACCTACAGCTCTCTCTCTCTCTCTCTCTCTCCCTCTCTCTCTCTCTCACACACACACACACACACACACACACACACACACACACATACACACACACACACACAGAGTCTGCAAGCCAGAACATATGTGTCACTTTCCCAATCGGTCTGACCATCTGCGTATCCTCAGCTGCGGCTGCTATCAGTGGGATTAAAAGACCTGGATGAAGCGTCACAAAAGAACTGAGAGAAACTGGCTTGCTTGAGCACCCAGATGTCCGATCATCACCCAATATGTGCCTCGCTCTCTTGGACATGTCGGTTTGGTGATCGCATGAGCGTGTCGGCTTTCTTCGTAATGCTGTGATCCTTCTTTGCTGTCAGAGATTAACGCAGTGTCAGAGCTTAAAAAGTGTCAGAGCTTTACACGGTGTCAGAGTCCGTTGTGGTCTGCCCAAACGATGATGACCTGAACCCCCGAATGCCTGGTTCAGGAGATGTTCCTTCGAAGAATCTCAGCTATTGCAAACAACAACATGGCAAGGTCAAGCAAACGAATCAGCAGCACAGACCTGCAACACTCAAAGTAGGAGATCATGTCTACTACGTACTGGCGTCGGGGTTCGCCAATGAGGAAGGCGTGTCGCGTAAGTTACTACCACTCGACTACGGACCCTGGGCAATCCTCAAGGTCCTAGGAGATGAGCATTGTGAGCCGTCCTACATCGAGGATGTACCTCCTCCACATCTGTGAACTCATCCAGTGTTTGACGCTTCTCCACATATGTGGGGGACGAGCTGTGTTTTTTGCTACCCTATTTTCTTCTCTCAATCTTGTATCTACCTCACCCTAGCTACCTACCTAATGGGCCACAACCATCCCCGAGGAAGCAGTTTCTCTATTCAGGAGCCAATCTTAAGAGTACTAACTATGTCCAAGCTATCCTAAGGTTATGGGTATATGCTTACCTAACTCGCCTCTATGGCCGGGAGCAGCACCCAATCTCCTAACACCTGGCGAGGCTCCCACTGGGCCCAGCAAAAAATCAGGCAGGGAGTTCCGTGCAAGGTGCCGCAGGGCACCAAGGAGGGCGCGTCAGTTGGTGGGGGCCGTATTTGTGAAGAACGTCGTGGTCGCGCGCGGGGGTGGACCGAGGAGGACAAAAAGGGGTTTAGGGCGCGTCGGTTCCCGGGGCGGGCCCAGCGGGACACTTGCAGGGTGAGGGCCGGCACCGAGAATCCAACCATGCAGACTGCCCCGTGCAGACTGCCGGCGGGTGAGGGCGCCGCCCGCGGGACCAGCGTGAGGAGGAGCTGGAGGAGGAAGGGGGCAAGCGCAGGAGGAGCAGCAGCAGGAGGAGGAGGAAGAGCGGGAGGAGCAGCAGGAGGGGGAGCAGGAGAAGGACGATCCATCATCTGTTGTTGTTAAGCGGTGTGAAAGGGAGGAAGCACGCGCGCGCGAGCGAGAGAGAGAGAGAGAGCTGTCTCT